ACCTCTTATAAACCCTTTCAAGGTTTCTCCTTTCGCCGGTTTATGTTGAGACTGAATATTGATGAGAGGAGGGACTTTGCATGAGCTTATAAGCAAGTTGGGCAATTCCTCATATTGCTAATTGGTTTCATAGTGAAACCTCAATTTTCTTTATGATATCAGAGTATGTTGTCTCACCTGTAAAGCTCAACGGCCACATGTGCTCTACGTCACCCGATTTGTGTTGTCCACATGCTATGCTTGAAATTTCGTCACACGTGAGGAGGCGTGTCGAGACTGAATCCCATACTGATGAGAGAAGATATTTTTCAAGAGCTTATAAGCAAATTTGGCTACTATTGCTAATTCGTTTTATGATGGAACCTCAACTTTCTTGAAAAAACCACTTTGTATTAGAGAAAAAATGTTTACAAATTGTGTCGGTTTTGTGCATCTAAATAGCATCCCCTCAATTTTTTTTGTCAAGAATCTAAGCAAACCCTTATCCTTAACTAATGTCCACACCTGCACAAGATTTGGCCACGAAAGCGATCTTACTCGCACCATGTTACCACTTAATTGATATGTCACAAGTCATTACTCAGTTAACAACTTAACATACATGAAGAAAATAATGCTGTCATCTAAACCCAAATAGTTAGAATGACGAAAAAAATTCTATGAAATCCCATCAAATCTTGCTGTAACACCTAATTACTTAATGGATAGTGTTCAGATTTGGAATTGGACAAGCACCATCTAATCCGTAATGTGAGTTTGTCTTTGTTCCTTTTTAGGGTGAGGACACAGCTTGCAGACTAGTCTATGATCTCAGCCACAAAATAGAAAATCATCAGTTTTCTTGGCTGTGATTGTCTAAATTTTATTTTTTGAACTCCGTGGTAAATTCCGTGGCCACGAACTGTGCTTGTTAGCTGTGATCACATGTCGTGCCCTAAATCAAAGGACCATGGTGGTGCTCATACAACTTCCTAGCCACTAAGCCCTTATCCTCTTTTCTTTGAGCACTTGATTCTGTCCAAACTATCTCTGATTCATAAGCAATAGCATGCGTTCGTATATCACTTAACCCTAAAGCGCAGCTATGGATGGATATAGACAAAATTTGCTTATCCAGTTGATATGTGTGTATGTATGTACATATGTAATATGGTATTTATTAGGATGGGGCAAGTCCGGTTAAATTTAGTACTTTCGTCAATGCAATGCAACAATTGATCAACGTGAAATCATAGTGCACACAACTATTGATAACTGTTAATTGATATGGATCATGCGAGTTTAGCAGTAAACAAAGAATTGTTTGCGTGATAAAAAAGACTATACGCATCTTGGATTGTAGTTGGTTACTATATAAAATCGTCATTTTCTTAAGCTTAGCTAATTTAGACCCACAACGCATGACAGGAGTAAGATTATATCCCCTCTTATTCCCATCTCTTCCCTTCCCTCCTCTCACATATTGTTTTTTGTCTTATTATCTCTATAAAAAAATCAATATAAGATGTTGATGTGGCTTAGCCGTAACTATTCAAGTAGGATAGGAATAAGGAAGGGGAGAAAGATTAGGAGGGAAGATAATCCTCCTCCCTGCAATATGGGTTTCTATAACAAGTATACTTCCATATGACTTTTGCACGAATTGTCAAGTTATAAGTACATATTTGTAAGGAGATTGGGGAAGAGGACTTTCTTATTTAGTCATGTAATGAGTGGCTAATATTGCATTAGTTAGGTATTTAACATAGATTTTTAAGTCACTTTCTGTACTTACTGATAAATGCCAACTTGTCCTCTTATGACTTTCTACGAATCTACATTAATTAGCTTGTACAAATCGAAAAAACGTAGCTTTGATTTCCTTGCAGTAACAATAAAATATGGTAGTGTTATCTAAACATTTATTTTTATTTCTCACACATTTTTTCAATTTTCGATTGTTGAATCGAATGAATTGAAGAACATCTACGGCCAAACAATAACAAAGGTGTGTAAAAAGCAATATCCACAAATATTTCAATGAAGATGATAAAAATAATTTTATTGATTGCATTTGTGTATTTTGATGAGTTTATATGTATTGTTTCGGAGGATTTTTACATGATTTCTATGAGATTATAAGAGTATGTTAAGCACTTTTGACATTTGCTTAAATAAGGACTTTTTATAGGTAGTACTTAAAAAGAAAAATCAACCAAAGACTGTTGTTGGATTTGGATAGAAAATCCATCTATTAGGTGATTTGCAGCTTAAAAGAAGATCTAACCAAAAAGAAAGGCCGGTCGGAGATTTAGTAGTGTACAGGTCATATCCAAAAAATTAGGTACTCTTATAATCACACCTAAAGATTCTTTATTAAACTAATGAAAAATAAAGATTAAAAAAAATAAAGATTTATAAAGACTAAACATTCTCTCTCTAGGATACAAAAAAAATCAAGAATTTTGTTTCAATAAAGGTCGTACCCAGTGCACAAGGCTCCCGCTTTACGCATGGTCTGGGAGAGGTGAATGTCGGCTATAAAGAAAAAAAAATTGTTTTGTTTTTTATTTAGAAAGAAAGTGTGAAATGGTTTAGGGTTCTGCTGCCTTTACCTTTAAGCCGACCCTACAAAAGAAGAAAAGATGTTGAGAGTTAATCCACATCAGAGAAAGTAGGGAGCTTATAAGAGATTGGATTAGTCCCCGCACGGCCAATTTGTTTTACGGTAGAATTTTAATTGTTTTCATTGTATAAGAGCAGGTTGGACTACATGTAAAGTCATTGGCTACCCAGTTTGTATTGTCTTCGCCAGAAAGGGGCGTGTCGATAGTAAATCTCACATTGGGGATAGAAGGGAGCTTGCATGTGTTGACAGTAACCGACTTTGCTGCATTGTAATCACTCAGTCTGAAATCAATACAAAGTCTCTCTCTCAAAGATTCATCCTTTCTCTCTCTAGAGTTCTTCTGTTTTTTTAGTGCATTCATACAATCATACATCCATATTTTCATAGTTCTATATATGTTAATACCATGTGCTTATAAGAGATGGAAATACTTTTCATATGACTAATTAATTTTATAGTAGAACCTTAACTTTATTAAAAAAAAACAATGTGAGAAGCTTAAGAGCTCAATCCCCAACACAGGGATTGGAACGCGAAGAAATTAACTAAAGACTTTAGTATGGAACCGTATATATTTGTGTGTGTATAAGTTGTGCGTATCATGCACGTAAAATGGAGAAACAGAGTTGGATACTCTGAGCAACAGTGGAATCGACGATCGGTATCATGTCGTCAGCTTCTGGCTTTGCCAGAGAATTTCCAACCGTGCCGCACATGCATGCATTATCCACACAGTAATACGTACTACTCCACATATAATTACTTTTGCGAGCTATTTAACGCAATAATCAAATTAATTAGGGAGTAAAAACATAACACAATTTGCATAGGGGTGTGATATCCACACACCCCATTTTACTTCTCACACACCTTTTTAATTTTCGACCGTCGGATCGGATGAATTGAAGAAGATCAAAGGACATAAATTATCAAGGAGTGTGTGAGAAGTAAAATGGGATGTGTGGATAGCACACCCCTTTGCATATAGATGATGATGAACAAGCATCCGGCACACAAACATGTGTGTGTATGTATAACTGATACTGATATAGTGATATGTATCTCTGATGTTCTTTTTGTTGGAAATAAATCAAATGTTTTAGAAATTGTCAAAAATGATATATAGTGGGTTTTCCCGTACACATGCAACGGTGGAAAGGATCGAAAAGATAATAAAAATAATATTCTTATCATATATTTTGTACAAACTATCTAATAGAGATGAGATCCACATATACATACTGATAGACTCCATAATTATATGGAAGAGATGAGACAAATGTGGTATGAAAACTGTGATAAATGTAGCATTACCAAATGATAATGCACATGTACCCATGCATCAAACTATATTATTAATTTTGGAAAACTAACGAAAAGTCTTCAAAAACTTTAGTTTGAATGAAAAATGACAAATAAATGTGTAAGTGAATAGTACCAGGAAAGGTAAAAATGTGGTTTTTCGTTAAAAGTAAACAGTACCGGAAGTGTTTCGTTAAAACTCCCTATTAATTTCTAGAGCAATGAGTTAACGACACACTTCATTTCGTTTAAGTGGCATAGTTATATATATATATATATATATATATATATATATATATATATGAAAATGCTACAGGAGTACCATGTTTTTAAATCATATTTTGTAATCAACGTAATATGGCGGTTGATGGTTGAATACTTTCTTTAATGATTTAAACAAGAAATCTAATCATCAACTGTGACATCATGTGGTCTACACAATATAATTTAAGTAGATTACCTCTCTAACATCACCAATATATATTGACATGCATTACAATTTATTAGTAGATGATATCTCTATCATCCCCAGTATATATTGACATGTATTACGGTTTATTCTCGAGTTTCAAGAGTCCCAAGAATGAACCCTATAACTTTAAGTTCGACCGGAACAACGTTGAATTAATTACCTTCAAATCAATAAATTCATATGGAATCTATTGTGATTGAGGACTATGAGTCTCTGAACACCTAATGCTTATCTGTGTGCACGTATATATGGTCCTTTCAATTTATTTTTTTCTAAAAAATTAATATCTCTATGACCTAAACTTACGCATGCACATGTTTCTGGATACATTATGCTTACGTAGGAGGGCATGTGTTTGTGTTCGCTGATACATGGAAATTTTTGTATACAGATTTTATTCTACCCAAACCAATCGAAAGTCATGCATGCAAATAAGTATGTATCATGGACAATAATAATATACATCGATCCTTGTATAACTGATTAAACGAGTTAAGATTAAAAGCTCTAGACTAATGCTGATTAACTCCAGTAATATTGCTGTGAAAAAATATTTTGCTCTCCCTCTATAAGAACCCCCAGCTACCCATTATCTCTTATTATCTTGCCTAACTGCCTCTCTCTCTCTCTCTCTCTCTCTCTCTCTCTCTCTCTCTCTCTCTCTCTCTCTCTCTCTCTCCAGAAACGCACAAACACTGAAATAAAATGGATAAAAATCCATTCAATAGTTCATCCCAGGATGTTGAAGTGAGAAAAGGGCCATGGACCATGGAAGAAGATTTGATTCTCATCAACTATATTGCAAATCATGGTGAAGGTGTATGGAACTCCCTAGCCAAAGCTGCTGGTAATTAATTAACATGTTTGATTCCTAGCTATATATGTATATATCAAACCCTAGCTAGAACAATTCAATAATTTAGAACTACATTATATAATATGTCACTAGGTGTATATTATGTTACTAGGTCTCAAACGTACTGGGAAGAGCTGCCGACTCCGGTGGCTGAATTATCTGCGGCCTGATGTTCGGAGAGGAAATATCACTCCTGAGGAACAACTTTTGATTATGGAACTGCATGCAAAATGGGGTAACAGGTGATCATCACTTTCTATTTTTTTCACATATAAAACATTAAGGTAAGTGTATAAGTACGCTGATAATTTAACGACAAGGACAGGTATATACATATGATTTGATAAGTTGCGAGTCTTATGACCAACTATTCTACTTCTCCTCGTCACCTTCTTAATTTGGATGGCTAAGTAGCTAGGTTTCTTCTTTTTGGTTCATAGGGCTTTGATCACTTGTCAGCAGCCCTATTTGAATAGTTTTGAACCTAATCGAGAGAGAGAGAGGTAATTTTGTATGAAGTAGGTTTAATTGCTATTTTCCAACAAAATTTTGACAGCAAAAATCCTGAGAAAGATCTGTTTCTTTGTATTTAGGGCTACAAAACTCCCAATTCAATTCTTGTCCTTCATTTTGATTCTACATACATATTCTTCTATTACAGCAATTTCATCCATCCGGAAGATTGAAAAATCTTTGCTACATGTTTCAGCCTCAACCGTTCTTTTGTGTCTCCGTTATTTTTTTTTTGGGGTAACATTAGAGAGTTTCAAATCCTAGATGTAACCTGCTCTTACTCATCACTAAGCATTGTCCCTCGATTTGTCATAGATGTGTTATAAGATATATGGATTTCTGGAGGCTTGTGATCGTATCCTTTAACTATTACCAATTAATACCAGATTGTTGGATCTGTGTCAAGGGCAACATCCTAATTATTGCTTACAGCCCTTTTTTATTCTCCATAATAATTTTAGATATCTCCAGGCCAGCTAATTTACTGAGAAGGACAAGTAATTGATCATATTTTTTTCTTTTATTTAAAAAAATTGAAATGTGGTACTTATCTATAATTGGTGTACCATCTTCAACAGTCGTTGGTTGAGTGGGTTTCCATGTATTGGAACCCACCAAATGAAGCTCTCCCACGTGTGTTGCAGGACAACTCTGTGTGGCATAGCTTCTCCTATATATATGTAATTCTCTTGTGTTGGATGGACCCATGAAATTGATTTTTTTTTTTGGGGGGGTGGGGGGGGCCTGGGGTTGGGGGGGGGGGGGGTGCGTAAAAATAAACAAGTTTTTATTTTTTATTTTTTAAATTACGCTCTTATGACTTGTTCCATATCGAGATGAACTGAAATAAAAAAATCATAGTGATGAAATGTAAAAAATTATCGAGATAAATCATTGAGAGAAACCCTGTGGTGAGAATAGATGATGTAATGAGTAGAACAGTACGAGTAGGGTAGAAATTCAGAGTTTGAAACCCTCATTTGTGACTAAATTAAAGATTTGGAAACTGTTTGTTTACGTGGGAAGAAAAATACCTCAAACTAGATGTGGTGGTGGACTGGACTTGTGATATATATTGAGAGGCACTTTGGTGAAGTCCAACCAAAAAAGTATTTGGAGCAATAAAAACCTTCCATTCAAAGGTAAACCCCTGTCAGTTTCTCACATGCCAACCCTAGCTCTCATTCTGAAGAAAAGGACAAAACCTTTTACTTTGGTTGAAGCCGACGTGAACCATACTGTTTTGGATGCTTGTATTTTGTATCGAACTAATAATATACATGGAGGCAGCGCTCGCAACGAGAGCTTTCTGCTAAGAAATTAATCATAATTTAACTACTAATCAAAGATTTAAAAATCTCAAATGATAGTTACTAATTCTAGGAACATGGTTAGGTAGGACACTAAATTATGATCAATATTAATGTGCGTTAAATGGAATGTACTATCTTGAAGAATTTTTCTCCTGCATTTAGCCCAGTTTTCTGCCAAATCAGGATAGTATTTTTCGACACCTTCACCTGATAAATATTCATGGACAAAAGGGCACCATATATACATATATATAAGTATGATATTATCCATTAGAAAGAATAATGGGATTGGTAATATCATTCAGAATACCTTAGATATATAAAAAGATTATGAGCTATCCCTTTGAAGCTCAAGGTATAAGTAATGGGGGTTTGAACATGGAAACTTGGAGATCGAATGAACTGGAGGAGTTTGTAAGATCTGTGTATATAATATGAATATACACGTATGGCAAGTAAATGTTTCTGTGTTTATGTAAATGACGAAGTTTCTGTGTCCTGGTCTGCCTTATATATAAATAAAAGGAGTCCAGCTCCTGCTCTGCCTAATATATAAATAAAAGAAGTCCAGCGGGCACTTGTAGGATTTTCAATCTCACCCATGGAACATGCATGACTTGGAATTTTTACCAATAGTTAATTGCAGATAAAGTTTTATTTTATACACACACACACACATATTCAGTTCCACACAAAGCACAACCATGGTCAAGTTGCAGGTATAATTTAGGGTTAGGGTTTATTGCTGTTAATTGGTTGTGTTTATAGCAGCTTTTCTCATGTTGTTCTAGTGAGTGTTATTTCTACTTAAGCTTAAGACAGCTTTTTTCTTCTGGGATTTTTTAGCTAGCAACTACTATACCAGTACAAGTACTTGTCCAATCATTTATTAACTTTGGCCCATTGCAATTTTTTTTTTTACTGTGTTTCTTGCAATACTCAGGTGGTCGAAAATCGCAAAACATCTACCGGGAAGGACTGATAACGAAATCAAGAACTATTGGAGGACTAGAATTCAAAAGCACATTAAGCAAGCTGAGAATATTACACCAGGACAAAGCTCTGAGGTCAATGATCAAGCAAGCACAAGTCAAGTGTCAATCTCTAACACTGTGGACACAATGGATATTTCCCACTCCGCACCAACACACCAAGCAAATATGGATGCTTATCCTCCTCCTTTGCCTGCTGATCAATCTAATGATAACTACTGGAGCATGGAGGATCTCTGGTCTATGCAACTGCTAAATGGAGAGTAATTAAACAACCGATTTCATATGAAAACTTAGGTTTGTCCATTTGAAAACTTAGTATATAAATACATAAATATATATGTATGTTTTTCTTAAATATATAAATATATATATAATATAAATATATGGTCTTTATATATAAGTAATTTTAATTAGTTTGTAATAGGAAATTAAACTTTTCAATTTTCTCCCTTATATGGCATAAACAAGAATACCGGGATATACATATGTACATTATTCCCATGACATAAAAAAGTTCGACATTAACCATTTAAATTAGTTGCACGGAACGAGGTGATAAAAAAGAGTACGACAATGGTTAATTGAGGGAGTAAATCTTACATATCAGTAGCTATTAAGTCACTAGTCATTGACGTCTTTTACTTACCTCATTATGTTTAGCGATTAGATGTTAAATTTTTTTTGTGGTATCGAGATTGAATATGGTTATTGAGATAGATGCTTATAAAACTTATATTGATTGTTCTTATATGTTAATAAGCTTCTCGATTTAGTTGAGTTGATCACACAACCTTTATTTAGGACGAGTTTGCACATGAAAATTGGAAGTGGTGATGCCCATGAAGATTCGAAGAAAAAACGATGAAGATACCCATGCCGTGATACAATTGATACAGCAAAAATGAACCGCTGGGAAATCGACACGTGGAAAGCTAATATAGCTATTCTTGTCAGATTTGGTCTCGGCTTTCCAGAGTTGTGCATGGCCATGCAAAACTGATGTTCGACGTGAACCTAACTTGCACCCACTGCAAGCAAGTTTTCACATGCTCCTTATTAAACTCCATATTTTATTTTCCCTTCAAATTAATACTCGTCTAATTTCTTATATTTTTATGGTATCTACTAGTCCAACAGGCTACCACATGGCAATTCTCATCACATATATATTTTATAATTAATATATCGTAATTAATCTGTTTTTATTTTGTTTTTTGTTGAAGAAATACAAAGTAATTAAACTGTTTGAGATATTAATTAGTATAAATAGTTTTGAATCTTGATTATAGTGTGCTTTCTTTATAATTTTCAAGATCTAAATAAATAATCTGGGCTCTGTAATTTTTTTGGTCAACATGGTTAGTTTTTATCATAATCATTTTCCTTTTTTTTAATGATTTGATGACTTTGATTAAGGAACTATAAGCATGTTTATGTTCTATTCTTTTTTGGTTTTATCCACTTGGCATGACTTAAGGCGATTTTAACAGGTTTAGTTCGTTTTGGATATTTTGGTAGCTTTATATGATTAGTCAACGTACTTCTTCAAGGGAGATCGTATTAGTGCGATATTAGTTTAATCCATTTTTAATTAACAACTTTTATGTTTTATGCCTTACAATAACAGTTGAGTGATAAGAAACAAACAAAATTAGGTTGTCCTGGATAGCAGATCGGACGAGAATTTTAATCAACCCTAAACTTTAGCATCCAACCTTTATTGAAAGAAATAGCTCAGAAAAGAACCTCAAGGGACCATTTCGTCGACTTTGCATTGCCAAATATGGCAAAATATGATCGAGCACAGATCCTTGGTTGTTGCAAAAGGCAATAGGAAAAGCAACTTCGTCTCTCAGCCATTCGTTCTTTTCAGTCACATGTTTTATATGCTCAATTGAAATTGATCGCAAAGCACAAATGATAAAGATCACGTGGAAGATGGGAAAAATTCACATGTTGGGTCGGCCATGAATGTAGAAAAATTGTACATGGGTTCATGTTGATAACAAAATATCCTTGCTAGCTAAGTTCATGAAATCGTAATCTAGTTTTAGTTAATTAATTAACTAACGGGCCTTTTTGGGGTTCACTAGATCTTCTCTAATTCAATTAAAGTGCCATTAGTTTATCGGTGGCCTGCAAATTAAGGACCATGGTTCCAAAGTCAATGTACGAATTAATGGATTTGGATATTGATGAGCCAAATATCGACTACAATATTTGTTATTTGTGAATTATGGAGTGATTAAGGTGTTATGACACTCTAAAATATGTCATTCAAGTGAGAATTCTTGATAAATTTTTGTAAAGTAGTATGTAATAGGACAATTTTAGAGCGTCAACAGCTCCAATGTGAAATGGTAATGAAAATCAATGGTGCAGACAAGGGTTTTGGATGGCATGCTATTGAAAAATTATGTGATTCCATGATGACTACTAGTTGACAGGTTAGAGAGGGATGGTGAAGTTGCACACCCAAATTAAAATATAGCCGACAATATTTATGTTCCGTGAATTTTGGAGCTACGAAGTTGTTGTAAAACTCTACAACATGTCATGATGCACTCGTTCAAATGCAATTTCTCTCTAAATTTTTATAACATATTTTTGAAGTATCAACAACAGCACCAGTGTGAAATGGTAATAAAAGTCAACGGTGCCGAAAAAGAATATAGATTTCATGCATTAGAAAAGTTATGTGATTCCATGATGATCACTAGTGAACATGCGAGGGAGGGATGATGAAGTTGCAAACCTCAATATAGACTACAATATTTGTGAATTGTGAATTATTGAGTAATTAAATTGTCATAATGGAGATGTTCAAGTGCAATTTCTCGCTAAATGGTAACAGAAGTAAAAAAGAACATAGATTTCATGCATTAGAAAAGTTATGTGATTCCATGATGATCACTAGTGAACATGCGAGGGAGGGATAATGAAGTTGCAAACCTCAATATAGACTACAATATTTGTGAATTGTGAATTATTGAGTAATTAAATTGTCATAATGGAGATGTTCAAGTGCAATTTCTCGCTAAATGGTAACAGAAGTCAGCGGTGCCGACAAAGAATATATATGTCATGCATTAGATAAGTTATGTGATTCCATGACGATCACTCGTGAAGATGTGAGGGATGGATGGTGACAAATCGTAGGAAATTGGATGAAAGCGAAAGTACTTGTTCATCAAGGAAGAAGGTCGACATTGAATACGTAATGAAAATATATGCAACCGAGATTTTTCCCAATTGGAGGTTAAACTTTCGTCTTCTATTAATTGCATATGCAACAACCAATCCTTCTATTTATTTCTTATATATCACATATCAGGAAAACTGGACTTACTAACATCTTTAAAACGTTATATTGTCGGATTATTAATCTGAACTATGACCATTAAGATTGTTCCAAAGCTTTGTCTTGGCAAATAAGTTGGCATATCAGTGGTTAAATTATAAAATCATGAAATTTTGATGGAAAACAATATTGTCTAAATTTACAGGCGAACAATATTATAGTTCACGCTTCTAATATATCGTAAAAAAAGTAGGGTTCAAATAAGTTAAATAACCATTTTAACTATTTTAGTCAATAGTTGATACCTTCGTCTTACTGTCCAATACCTTTTCAAATCGACTTAAAACTTAATTAAATCGACGTTTACCAAGACAATTGGACACCAACTAGAGGACCCATTAAAAACGTGATCCATGCTTGAAAGACTTTATTTAATTCCTCTCCTTTTATTTGTTTACTAGACTTTGTTTAATTCCTCTCCTTTTATTTATTTGTGTCTAGAGCAGTCGAATTCAGAAAATTTGAACAACTCAACTTAAATCATGCATTCTTCAGTAGCTCATCTCACCGGCTCACCTCACGAAAAACAAAATTTTTGAATGGTCATAATCTCTTTTTTCTTGAATGGCTCAAATTTGTTAGCCTGCCTACTTTGAACACAGAGATCCAAAGAGAATCTCAAACCCACATTTTTCACTTTTTACAGACGTTTATTATTTTTATCTTTTGATTATTTGTATATTTCTCTCATTTTGAAGACTTGAAATTACCAAGAGAAAATAATGTGTTTAAAATTACTTATAATGTTTGTTCCAAAATATAAATATTTGGCCCACAAGATAGAGCTGGACTCTGGTTTGGAGCTACCAAATGGACAAGATATAAGGCCCACAGCTGAAGTTTGACAACAACTTGTTTGCTTGGAGGGTAGTTGGGCCAGGTTTATACCTCATACGAGGTTTCGAGTTTCGGCCCAAAGAAAAGTAATTACACTAAAGAAAATAACACTGTTCACCGGTATGCTACGAAAATAAGCGCTTTGAAGGGAAGGATGGTATGACCTGCTTCTGCTTTCTGCTGCCGGTGACTCGCAATTTTGAAAAGAGAAAAAATGCAACTTCCTTCCTTTTTATCAAACACGATTCAGATCTCAATTTTTTTTTTTTGGGAAGGAAAACTAATGAAAGGAGTTTAAAAACTTTAAGTTTTAATCAAATTGACAAAAAGATGTTGTAAGTGACTTTTTAGAGTAAAAATATCATTTTCGTTAAAAATAAACAGTATCGAAAGTGTTTCGTTAAAATTCCATTTTTTGTAAGCTGCTTTAAAAAAAAATCATCTTAACCCCAAACCAGTCCTATAAACCTTAAACTAGGATTCAAATCCTCACACTTTACATGAATGATGGCAATCAAAATTTAAAAAAAAAATTAGTATAAGTAAAATTTTTGTAAAGGCAAAGCATTATCTACTAAGAAGACATACTAGCCTTTGTAAAAGTAAGACATATCAATTATGGAATTGTTTGGATGTGCTTTTAAGATGGCTGAAAGAGTTTTTACAGAAAATATTTTTGGGTACCAAAAGCACTTTAAGTGTTTTATGCAAGAAGCACCAGTTATGTGCTTCTTCCAGAAGCACTTTAAGTGCTTTTTTCAGGATTTACTTGTATTTTTACTAAGGATTGGTACAAAAAACATTTCCACCAAAAGCGCTTTCAGTTATTTTAAAAGCACATCTAAACGAGCCTTATATTTTCACCTCTTTATAACACATTGTAGAACCTAAAAACTACCAAGCCTACGTGGCGCTCAGGCCAAGTAACTAATGAGCTAACTACGTCATTCGGTTGTGTGCGGGGCGTGCTAACTGGACGGCCAAGCTCGACCGGTGAGTAAAATGAGTTGATGTTGCGTTAGGCGTGCTACTGACTTCTTGATCTTGCGACTGTGGCCGATGAAGGAACATGTCTCGGCCTTCGGATTCTAGAGCCTGAAGACAATACTGCTAATTCTGCGAAGTTCAATATCAAATTCGGCTTTCAATGTGCCGAATGTAGTAACTTGTATCACCTCACTTTGCCGAGCAGGCTAATGAAGATGACCTCTGCCAATAAGGATTCAAAAATCCTACTCGACAGAGACTTGGATAGATAACCAGTCGGCCTCGACGTAATGCTGTTTATCCAAACTGAAGGTGCTCCGTGATCGGCTGATTCTATGACAACAATGCTGTTTATCCAAACTGAAGATGTTCGCCGATTACCTTCACAATGTTGTTTATCCAAACTGAAGATGTGTTGGCGAAAAAGAAAATAAAAATCTCAAGATGTTTGAGAGGTTTCGCGTAGAGCAAGGGTTTATGCATGGCAGTTTGTGTGTTGAGTTGAAGGTCCCTTGTTGTTGCACAACCACTCTTATTTATAAAGATATGCATGCTTGACGTGGCTTGATAATTTTGCAGAGTTCCACTGCAACTCTAATTCATGGAATTGAAATTGATCCATATCAAAAACCAAGGCATATCCTTCAAACGGAGGCGTGAGATTTGTTCCAAGACTTTTCAAACCTAATAAAAGTCCATCTAGGCTTATCACATCACAGTTCTAGTCCACCTAGGCTCTCTTCATCAAAAACCCATCAGTAGCCATGCTTTATATGATCATCAAAACACTATAAAAAAAGGGCTTAGCCTACTAGGTTCCTTGTGTCATCATTATCCAAGACCATTATTTTCCTTTGTCCCATTATTCCACGTGGTTCTGCATGCAAATCCATTCAAATATGAAACTGTGCAACTGACTAGATATCAAGCTGCATGGCAAGCCTTCCATGACTCTCTGTACTGCCGATTAATTGTAAGGGGTTGGCAAGCAGTCAGCTGTACAATCTCCTTTAATTTCTCCACAACCTGATAAAACCCTTAATTATCTACAATAAAATCCTACGCGTATCTCTGCAAGTTTTAAGGATATTTTCAAGATAATTACTACGATTAAAATCAATAGTAATGCCAACAAAATTATCTTAACGGTCTAGAGCCATACCCATTTAACGGCCTTGATACCACGGACCAATGGTATAAAATTGGGTCCAAACACACATACAATAATATGACATGTGAATTACGTTTATTGATATTTATAAAATTTTCTAAAAACGTATAATATTGAAGAGATGGAGGAGAGGATAGGTTCAAAGAAGGGAACGTGTGGCGGAAACACTAACCTACCTAATCCACGATTCTGTTGGCTTCTCCGACTCTGACATAATTTCCAAATCCTCTCACTTCCATTCAACCTCTTCTTCCTCAATCTATTTCCAAAATTCCTAGTACCAACAAATTCTTATATTATCCACTATAATCGTGTTTGTTTATCGTATATCGTGCTATCAGTTTTCGTCAATTACTATTCATATTTAATTTAAAATAAAAATATTTAAAATGATTTATGATCGCACAATGTACAATGAATGGATACAATTTAAGAATGATCTCATTCTTATCCACCACCACATGACATGATAGCCGTTTTACATGTGTCACCACATCAATCGCTGGCCTGATCTCAGAAAAACAAAAGAAAGATCATCACGATCAAATCGTTGGTCCCACAAATAATCCTCATTTGGAAAGATTTTTTAACGTGTTGAAATACAGCCTGCCACATCAAATATTATTATATAAATAATTAAATATTTAAAAATAATAATTTTGAACCACTTAAATTATAACACTTATTGTACCAAACCGTTTCCGCTTATGGAAATTTTTTTCCATCCATCGGTATCCAAATGCAAATCCAATGAAGGGTAAATGGTAAAAGGAGGCAGCTCTCTCTCAATGATATCCTGTCTGACTTCACATTCAGCGTTTGTTCATCTTTCTCGGAGAGCATTTCTTCAAAGGAAAGCTCTCCCAACCAGAAAATCATAGAAATTAAATATACATATAATTCAATCTCTTCTTCCACACTCCAGGAAAACAATAAAAAACAAAAAGAGGAGGGAGGGACAAGAGAGAAAATAAGGAGAGATGGGAAGGGCATTTGTTTATGTTATTCTGGGAGGAGGGGTGGCTGCTGGGTATGCAGCTCTTGAATTCACCAAGAGAGGCATCTCCCATGGTGAACTCTGCATCATTTCTGAAGAATCAGTGAGTTCTTTTTTCTTCATGCATATATATATATACATATTATATATATGTATGTGCAATTTGCAAGATTTAGTTTTGTGTTTTTATTTTATTTTGTATTTTATGATAAGACAGGAAAAGATACATGAATTCTTATATTATTTCAAATTCTAGGATTTGGGTTTGTATTGAAACATTGTTTAGCGTGTGAGGACGTGGAGAGTTGTCCTGCATCAGAAAGTTAAGCAAACTTTGCATTGCCAATTGGTTTTGGGATTGGAAATTTTTTTTAGCTGATTGGATTGAACAATGTAAACCGTTGGACCAACGATTATGAACCCCCTCACATAAGTGACATGGAATCGTATTGCTTTGCATAATTTTCGAAAACATGAGTGAAACACTTTGAGGGCGAGGCCTTGGGACAACGGAAAGGTTGCTCCTTTGTGACCAAAAGGTCACTGGTTCGAGTTGTGGAAATAGCCTGTTTGCAAAGCAAGGATAAGGCTGTCTACTATAGAGTATAGACGTTCCCCCCAATCCTCGCAAAGCCTGGTTGGTTTGGAGTCGCCATTTTCATGAACCAACTTGTAACATAAGCGATCAATTCTGTGAAAGTAAATTCCATGATTCGGGAGATTCAACGGTTGCGATTATATCTTTTTCAGGTTCCACCTTATGAGAGACCTGCTTTAAGCAAAGGCTTTCTACTTCCAGAAGGTATATAATGTTTCTATATCACAGACATTAGACATCAATGTTTGGCTGCCGTATTAGAGACATGCCTTCAGCAAATGCTTTCTCATCATTGATGTTAGTTACTTCCCACATATCTCTTCCTGAAATTCTGCATGGAATTAATTCCTGCAAATTGTGTTCATGTGCAGCGCCTGCACGCCTTCCATCGTTTCATACTTGTGTTGGTGCTAATGAGGAAAGGTTAACTCCAGAGTGGTATAAGGAGCATGGTAAGTATCTATGACGTCTTGCTTCTTTAGCTTTATATGTTAATAGGAATCATAGGGGGTGGTATTTTTTTGTTTGTGCTTTCCGTAATCACTTTTGGTAAAAACCGTGGTGCTTTAACTGAAATATAATTGTTATCTTCTTCTTTATAGGGATCGAATTAGTTATCGGAACTCAAGTGAAGTCTGTTGATGTGAGACGCAAGACACTACTGGCAGGATCTGGAGAGACTATAAGTTACAAAGTTCTCATCATTGCAACAGGGGCTCGGGTATTGAAACTGATCTTATTTTACTTTTTGCTTTTCCTGTGTATGTTCTGTCATTGCTAAAAGAAGTATAACGGAAAATTTTAAATACAATATAAGCAATATTGATGTACCGCGAATTCAAGTAAACGAGTAACAAAACCTGATTGAGGAGTTAAAATGTTGTTGTAGACCTGTAAAGTGCTAATTACCTTTTCTACAGCTGTGTTAATGTGGTTGCATCGGACATTATTTTCAGACTATAGAACGCTGTTAGTTTAAGGGGCATTTCCGAAGTAAAGGATGCTAAGGAGAATTCACTTTCTCCATTTAATGGATATGTGTTTGTGTGTCGAAAATAGGCACTGAAGCTGGAAGAATTTGGAGTCAAGGGATCAGATTCTGGAAATGTGTGTTATTTACGAGATTTGGCTGATGCCAATAGACTTGTAGACTTGATGGAATCTTCGTCTGGCGGGAATGCTATTGTCATTGGTGGTGGCTACATTGGAATGGAGTGTGCTGCATCATTAGTGATCAATAGGATGAATGTAACGATGGTTTTTCCAGAAGAACATTGCAGTAAGTACTTTTATTCTCTGATGCAGACCAAACGTTGTTGCATCTTTTATCTGTGTTGGGGCCTGGGGGGCATCTGTTCGATTTGTGGTGAGAGAGTTCTTGTAAGCAAATGGATCAATGCTTTTGTTTTTTGCAGTGGCCCGATTATTCACACCCAAGATCGCAAGTTTTTATGAAGAATTTTACAAATCCAAAGGAGTGAAGTTTGTTTAAGGAACCATTTTGTCCTTGTTTGACATTGCCTCGAACAGGAAGGTAGATGTTAAATTCTTCTGGAATAACATGAACTTTGAGTGGTTATTGAGTTGCTTTCGTCAAAACAAATTCTGTACTTTCTTAAATCGAGAAAACATTGGTTCCATGGTTATACGTATACATTTTCTTTGAATTTGACGCGATTGAGATGCTAAATTTTTCTGCTCAATTCTTGTACAGGTGACTGCTGTTAATCTTAGAGATGGAAGTAGTCTTCCTGCAGACGTGGTTGTTGTGGGAATAGGAATCCGTCCAAACAAGAGCCTGTTTGAAGGTCAACTAACGCTGGAGAAAGGTGGGATCAAAGTGAATGGAAAGATGCAGTCAAGTAATAGCTCAGTCTATGCAGTGGGAGATGTTGCCACATTTCCAGTAAAAGTATTTGGTGAGTCCCGAAGGCTTGAACACGTTGACTCAGCAAGAAAATCCGCAAGGCACGCTGTTACTGCAATTATGGAACGAAACCAAGTTGATGAATTCGACTATCTACCATTCTTTTACTCGAGAATCTTCACCCTGTCTTGGCAGTTTTACGGGGACAATGCAGGAGATGTAGTCCATTTCGGAGACTTCTCAGGAGGCACATTCGGGGCTTATTGGGTAAGAAAGGGTCAACTTGTCGGGTCTTTTCTCGAAGGCGGAACCAAGGAAGAGTATGAAGCTATAGCCAAGGCCACCAGGCAGAAGCCAGAAGTTGAGGACCTAGCCGAGTTGGAAAGGCAAGGTTTGGGTTTCGCATTGACAGTTAGCCAGAAACCACAGCCATCATCACCACCCCATGATGTTACAAGTTCTGGCATCGTTCAGGAGAGGCCAATGTACACTTTTCATGCAACTGTCGGCGTTGTTGTGGCTGCATCGATAGCAGCGCTCGCGTATTGGTACGGAAGGAAGCGCCGGAGGTGGTGAGCAGATGTTTGGGGGCTGTACCATAACCGTGTTGTTGTGTGGCATTGATAGGTGTAAGTGATTGGGAGGTGCTTCAAATATTTGATCATATATATTGAGGAAGCAAAACTGTAGTTGAAAATAATGAATGAAATACAAAGAATTATATGCATACCTGTACCAAAATCTCTGGAATATGGGCTTTGGGCTTGAAACTATTAAGTTGGGCTGCCATATCAAATATCTGGATAGTTGATGTGGGCTTTAGTTGGACTGCCATATCAAATATCTGGAAAGGTAATGTGGGAAGAGATTTCTCTGCGTACGCAGAATACGGGACGGAAGGAGTCAGAGGCGGATTTCGTTAATTTATGAACAAGATCTATATAGACACATAGACCCATGGATCCATAAAAATTGATAATTAAATCCAATTTTTCCCATTATTTTCGTATCTGTAATAGTGCGAAAAAGAAGGCCCGACTCCAAGTTGTTCAAGAATAGTGGCGTTGAGTTTCACAATTGAATTGGATTCAGTTGGATGGTACCCAACAAAATCGAGCGCTAAGGCCTATTTCTTTATTGAATTAACCGAATGAATGTAGGACAAATATTTGAATGCCTCGCTCGGGTTAGCCAGGGGGGGGGTCTGCATTATCTTGGCCATATCAAAATATATGGAAAGGTAATGTGGGGAGAGATTTCTCACTGTGCGCACAATACGGGGCAGAATGAGTCAGAGGTAAAATAGAGATTTTGCACATTTTCGTTAATCCATGAACATGATCTGTATAGACACATAGACCCATGGATCCCATAACAGTTGACAATTGAATCCAATTTTTCTCATTTTTTTTCTTCATATTTGTGAGAGTACGAAAAGAAGGCCTGACTCCAAGTTGTTTAAAGAATAGTGGCGTTGAGTTTCACAACTGAATTGGATTTAGTTGGATGGAACCAACGAAATCGAGCGCTAAGGCCTATTTCTTATTGAATTAACCGAATGGATGTAGGACATATATTTGAATGCTTGCTCGGGTTAGCAGGGGTCTGCATTATCTTGTCCATTTATGGCAATGTCATTCTTATGTGTGGCTCAACCAGGAAGGATTTATAAGAAGACCAAATGTCATTACACAACTAGAGAAATATATTTTAAAAAAAAAAAAAGTTCCTCCAATTGTATGATGACATGTGCTGGCCTGTCTAAATACATGGTTTAAACTAATAATAAATTCATAAAGTTAAGTACACGGAGGGCATTTGGTCTAGTGGTATGATTCTCGCTTTGGGTGCGAGAGGTCCCGAGTTCGATTCTCGGAATGCCCCCTGTCTGTGACCTTTCTGTTTTTTTTTCCTATTCACATACCTTTTGTACCCCTGAAAAACGACGGAACTACTGTGCAATTTGAAGGAAAATTATCACAATTCACAAGGGTAAAATCGTCAACCAAAGGAAACCCACCAGCTACAATATCACCCATGGACATTTTCGTTCCACAATTCCTTATCCTATCTTCTTCCCACTCTCCATTTCTCTCTCCCTCTCTCTCTCAGACCTCGAAAATCCACAACAATGGCTGCCACTCTCTCCACACTCACATTGGGCACTCCCTCCTACCCCGCCGCAACCTCCGCCTCCTCCTTCCCCTCCCACTCCCCCAAACCCACCCTCCAATTCCCCTTCAACCCCCAAAACCCTACCCTCACCCACCGCGCCACCCACATACGCCCCCTCGCCGCCGTCGGAGCCCCGGAAAAGATCGAGAAACTCGGCACCGACATCTCCAGCCTCACCCTCGAGGAGGCCCGCATCCTCGTCGACTACCTCCAGGACAAGCTCGGTGTCTCCGCCGCGGCTCTTGCCCCAGCCGCCGCGGTGGCTGTGGCGCCAGGAGCGGCCGAAGGCCCCGCCGTCGTGGAGGAGAAGACGGAGTTCGATGTCGTCATCGAGGACGTGCCGAGCAACGCGAGAATCGCGGTGATTAAGGCGGTGAGGGCGTTGACGAGCCTGGCGCTGAAGGAGGCGAAGGAGTTGATTGAGGGCTTGCCGAAGAAGTTCCGGGAAGGAATTTCGAAAGACGAGGCGGAGGAGGCGAAGAAGCAGCTGGAAGCCGCCGGGGCGAAGATTAACATTGTTTAATCATGAATTAGCGCTTAATTAATCCGGTTTGGGGATTTTAGCAAATGAGCTTTGTTTTTGTGTACTTTTTATATGGAATTGTAGGTGTTTAGCGATATGTCATTGCTCTCTTGCTTCAATTTTCTCAATGCAGTTGGAATTGTAATTTTAAGGTGAAGAATATATTTGATTGCTTTGCTTTTTGTAGTTTGATTTGTCATAGAAATTCAAATGTTATTTGTAGATTTCAATAAGGCGTCGATGTGTGTCTTCATTAACATGTTATCTACTAATGTTATGACCGGTATATCGATGATGTTGATGTTTGTTAGTATAAAAAACAAGATAATATGTGCCTTCATGAACATGTTACTTCAATACTTGGGTGCATGTCATACATTAGTCCATCGTAAAGTTTTCGTAAAATTAGTACTTGGTTATGTTGGGTGAGCTCTAGTGCATTGGAAAGAATGTTCTTTTGTGATCAAAATGTCACATAACAAAGATGGGACTGCGTACGATAGACGTTCCTCCCGATACCTCCAAAGTAAAAAGTCTTTTGACTTGGATCGCCCTAGTGCTTGATTATGTTGTTTGATTGTTTAGCTAGTGGAGCTAGAAGTGTACTTTGCTTGGCTTAGAGATGGTAAATTTGGGCACTTCTTATCACTTAGCAACGTTAATCTAGCTTTTTTGTTTAGTCCAATTTCCATCATATGCGTTTGGGTGGTGCACATTATTTCCTCATCCCTTTCATTGCTTCATGTACAAGTAGGAAGAGATCAACCTGCCCAAAAAGCCCATATTCTATTCTGTCTTTGGTATCGACATGTCGATAATTGCTTTGTCATTTTCTTGGGTTGAATCTGTGCGAGTTCATCCTAAAGAAAGCAAAGCGAACCCCTTCCAGTTCGAGACAAAAACTATGAGCAAAATTCTCCTTTGACTCGATAAAAGGACATTTGAAATTAGAAACTGTATATTCTTTTAAACTTTCAAGATGGGAGAATGAATAAATTCTTAGACGAATGAATTACGTTTGTCTTTTCTATCATATGAAATGTATCTATACTTATATTATGACACGTGAAATAGAAAAAAATGTTCCGAGTTGAAAATTCTCTCTAAGAAAAGTCTCAAAACCTGTTACACCATAAAACAACGTCGTTGTAAGCAGATGTTGGCTGGGATCACCAATCAGTAATTCAGGATCGCCTTTACGAGGGGATATAATGGCTACAAACAGAGGGCCCTTTAACAGTTATAATAATTGCAATCGTTGGATCAAATTTCAACGGTCCGTATGATTTGCTCAGAAATCTCAGCTTGCTAAGCTTAGAGGGGATCTAGTTCCAACCAAATCCACAACGGACACGTGGCGATCATCCACATCAAATCCGCGGCTTTTCATTTAACGTCAAAACATAATAGCTTTTCAGCCGTTTGATATCCCCAATGCGGCATCGAACCTGCGATCATGATTACTCCTCCTCGAAATCCCTATAGTAACAACCACATGGCCCCATAGCACAGCGAGTACGCTCCCAATCCATACTCTCGCGTCTACGCACCCCACCAACCCAAATGTCAGCTGGGCGGGCACAAAACGTGGAGATGGCCGATCTGCCAGAAAACGACAACAAGAGCGAAATAGCCGCTTCTTCTCAACTCCCACTCTCTCCTTCTCCACTCTCTCAGTTCCCACCACCACCACCACCGCCTCACGCCAATTTCTCGCCCACTTTACCGCGATATATTACCCCCGCCATCCACCATTTCTTTCTCTCCCTCTCACAATTTGAATTCGGATTTTCTCTGCAGAATTCGATTTGATTCAGGAAATCCGTGTTTATTTGTTATCGGAGTTTTTCTCAATCATTTGCAGAGCTTGGACCAGCAAAAGAAAAAAGCTTCAAGCTTTGAAGCTTTTGGTTTCTTCGGGTATATAATTTCCCTTTTCTCTTTATTTTTCGGTTATATATATATATGTATGTATATATTATTGTATGTATGCATTTGTTCTCGTTTGTTAGTGCACTGCATTTAGTTATTAATATAATTATTTTATTCCAATTTTCAAGCTCTTTTGGACATAAACCTAAACCCTAGAAAGTGCTGATTTTTACATATTTTTGCATAATTTTGTGTTTCTGTTTTTGGGTTTTGTTTGTGATTGGGTTCAGCTGTGAAAGCAAGGTTTGAGCTTGAGCTTTATTTTTTTCAGGAAATGGGGATGTTAGGGACGCGATCTACTACATCCCTGGAGGAGGATTTGGGTTCTGCACCTGAACCGGATAAGCATGAAGTTCCGGAGGAGAAGACGATCGGGGAAGTTGTGACCGACTCGGGAGGGTCCGGTCGGGGAAGTTCCGGCGGTGGAAGGAGTTTTGGGAACCTGAGTGTTGATGTCTCGGATGCTGAGGAGGGCTTGGTGAAGCCGAGAGGGAAAGGGAGAGTTGAGAAGTTGGAGTCTGGTTCGAGTAACGAGAAGAAGGCGGTGAGAGGCGGTGCTGAGGTTGATCATGGTGAGAACGGAGGAGGGGTTGGAGAAAATGGGAGTTCTTTGGATGGAATTGGAGAAGGCCCGGATGGGACTGAGATTATTGAGACCGGGACCGATGTGAACGGAGGGGTTGAAGAGAATGGGAGCTGTTTGGATGGGACTGGAGAAGACCCGGATGAGAAAACTGATGAGATTAGTGAGGACATGGATGATGAGGGACATGAGTTTCTTGTTGGTGATTTTGTGTGGGGAAAGATTAAGAGCCATCCGTGGTGGCCTGCACAAATTTGTGATCCTTTGGACGCTTCGGAGTATGCCCTGAAATTGAAGGCCAAAGACAGACTCCTGGTGGCGTATTTTGGGGACGGAACATTTGCTTGGTGCAATTCATTGCAGCTGAAACCGTTTGAGGAGAACTTTAGGGAGATGTCGGAGCAGAGTAGCTCGAAGGCGTTTGTTAATGCTGTGCAGCAGGCTGTGGATGAGGTTGGAAGGATTGTGATGTTGAAGATGAGTTGTGGGTGTGTAAAGGAAAAGTTCCTGAGTGAGGTTGGTCGGCCGTTGGCAGTAAATGCCGGAATTAAGGAAGGAGTTCTTGTGCCAGAAGGCAGGGTTGGGAAGCTTTTGGATCGTCTGTGTGAGCCGGCAGAGCTTCTTGCTGAGTTGAAACATGTTGCAGAAGTTATGTCCACGTCTAGTGAGCTTCAGCTGAATGCTTTGAAGAGTTGGTTGTCGGCATTTTATTGTTCAAAAGGGGGCTATCATTTGCCTGTTTTCGTCGAAGCGCAGCCAGTTCCTGGTCTTGAGGATGATTGGAGGGCGGTGGATGTCCCGCTCCAAGGGCCATTTGAAGACTGGCTTTCTTCTCCCAGAAAATCAGGTCAAACTGATCAACCTTTACATGAAAATTCAGCTCAAGGTTTAGAGAATAGGCAATACCAAAGAAGGAAGCAGAAGAGCATTGCTGATCTAATGGGAGAGTATGATGATATTCAGGTGGAAACAAAGGAAGGAGCAACATCAGAGAAAGCAGGGGTATCATCTGGGCGGAAGAAGCGGAAAGTTGGCGAGAATCATGGTGAGAGTAATTTGACTTCTGAATCCAGAAAGAGAAGGGCCAAGCTTTCAAAGACACCAATGAGCACGCAGATGAAAAAACTATCATGTGTTGAAAATGGTTCTAGTGGCCGTAAGGAAGAAACTAAGAAGGGTGCCTTAACAAGGAGCAGGAAGAAGGCTGAAGGTACTGGAATTGAAAGCAATGGTGGCGAGACCAAAGAAGAAGCTGGTGATAGTCCAATTTTGCGCAGTGGCGGTTCACAAACTGACATGAAAGACCAAATTGATCACGCCTTTTCCACGAGAGAGAGGAAAAGGAGCAAGTACTTGTCCCCTCCCTTCATAAATCTAAGCACTGGAAAAAGGAGTCTAGACATGGAAGTAGAATCTCTGAAAGTTTATAATGAGAACCTTGTTGGGTCGCCGAAGATGCTGAATCCTTGCATGGAGACGTTACAGAAGAAAGACTCTACAGAACTTGGTCTTGGGAATGAGATATCTGGTGGCTCGAGTTCGAAAAAACCATCAGCAGATGACAAGAAGAGCATTGATCAGATGAAAGCTAATGTATCTAATCGTAACGTGCTATCTGGAGTCCGCTCTGCAGCTGTTAATCCATCATCTCCAATAAAAAAGAAATCCTTTGAGATTGTTAAGGATTTTCTGTCCGTATTCAGAGACTCGATTTATCGCAGTGGATCCTACTACGACATATACAAGAAGAAGCAACCTGATAAGAAGAGAAAGAAGTTAGAATCTGAACCTGGCTCATTGGGGAAAGACCGAAATCAGACTGCAGAAAACCTGCCCGAAACTGAATCTGGGAAGAAGAGAATCAAGAAGAGCAGTGAGACAAAGTCTGCTAAGTCTACACAAAAGCAAGCTACTGAGACACCAGGTTCAGAGCCTGGTAGTAAGCGAAAATCAAAGCATGCTTCTGGAACTCCGGATTTGAAGAAAAGGCGTAGGAAGACTGACGAAATAGCTTCACCTGCATCCCTTTTTGTGACATTTGGCCCTGGATCCAATCTCCCCACAAAAGCTGATCTTATCAAGATTTATAGTAAGTTCGGAGAGCTGAACGAAACAGAAACTGAGATGTTCTACACCAATTTCTGCGCTCGTGTTTCCTTTGCAAGGCTAGCCGATGCACAAGAAGCCTTCAACCATTCGCAAAACGACAGTCCGTTTGGAGCTTCCAACGTCAATTTCCGGCTTCATAATCTGGCAGCTGCTTCGAAGGTTCGTGAACTGAGTGAAATATCCAATTCTGCTCCCGCTAAGAAGTCCAGGGGCAAGACCAAAACCCAGGCATTAGCTTCACAGGCACCCGCTGCTGCTGGTGAGGCGTCGCAGATCGACTTAATCAAGCAGAAACTGGAGAAGATGACCTCAATGCTGGATGATTCAAATGGCCAAGTGTCGGATGTCACGAAATCGAAACTGGAGAGCGAGATAAAAGAGCTGTTGGGGGCGGTAAGCACGATGGTCTAATCGTCGTCGTAGATCAGCCAGCTTCTCTGCGAGCGAATATGTAGGTTTAGGGAGAGATCTAAATGCTTTCTTTTGGGATGCTTGTGGATGAAGTTAATACGCCTCCATGTAACAACTCTCGATATTTTGATTCGAATTTCAGCAGTTAGTTTGATGTACATTTCAGCTTTCTTCGGGTCCCAAACGGAACGATACGCAAACTTTTGGGGATATGCAGAAGCATATTCGAAACATTACATCTCCATTTGACAAAAGCAACAAATATGGCAAAGAGAGAGTATTAAGCTGAATGTAAGATGATGAACAAGAAAGCTCGAAAACGAGCTCCCAAACTAATTGCAATACAACGCAAAATATTCAAGTTTCATCGGACATATTAGTGTAATTCCCTCTGCATGCGATTTGAAAGAACTAAAATTCACACGACCGATGCGATACATGTAATTTATTCCCAGTTGGTTTTTAGGTACAAGGGTCTGGTGCCGGAAGTGTACTGACGGAATTAAAGAAACAAAACATACACATTCCGGTAACATTCAGTCATCGACAGGATCCTGGGGTGTTTCCTCTGCACTGCGCTTGATTGTGATGACCGGACACTCAGCATGCTTCACGCAAAACTCGCTCACGGTCCCAACAAAAACCCTGCACATCACAGAAAAAGGGATCCAGCGCAGTGAGCATATATAACAATTGCTCAATAACTTTATCCGCCAGTTTCAAAAGATGCGAGAAAAGGACGTCAGCAATCTCAGAAGACTAAGAACTGTGGATATCAGGCATGTCTGTGAAAGGTAAGGACTTAGAGATACCTCTGGAAAGGACCAAGACCCCGACAGCCCACCACCAGAAGGTCTGGCTGCACACGCTTCACCTCGCGGCAGATTACTTCCTTGGCATCCCCTCTTTTGATCCATGCTTCACAAGCAACCTACGAGATTCCAATACGTAGGTGTTATCATAAAATAGAGTATTCTTCAGATGCAATCAATTAAAGTCGCCCCCCAACACAAGTCAGTACCCCGATTGCATGACATCTGTCAACAAAGAACTCCAGCAGATGAAGCCCTCGAGCTCGGTCTCTGTTCTTCAAGTTTTTAAAATCCTCCGGCGATGCATACACACTGTCCATGTCGTCAAAACCTATTATAGAAAGAGGGAACATATTATTTGCAGTAACAATTAGTTTCCAGTTAATACATAGCAACGAAGATCAGTTAACATCACATCGTTAATAAGAAGGATAAAGAATCAGACAGTTTTCAAGGCAACCAAAACAAAGCGCTAAGCATGCTTAAATCAACAAGAACATACAGAAGCTCGACTGTCGGACTATACGTATAGTGATTAACATTGTTCAAAGTTCATACAACAATGAATCCAGATCAATTCATGATCACAATTTCACTACGCTATGATGACGGTTAATACTAGAGGACCGCGTCGACAATAATTATGATCATGATCATGATGTTCCGGGCACACAACGCCTTTAGAAACGACGAGAAAATACATGAAACATGCTAAAAGAAGTCACGATATCAAAGCCAACTTTGAGACACAATCATAAACAAACTTGTACAGAAAATAGTCCGATCTTGTAACGGATCAAACTCGAAATTGAACTTCAAATAGTAAACAATATTCACCGCTTAAACGAACTAAAAAATTGAAAGAAATTATCACACTACTTAAAAGGTTATGAAGCTCCTTCATACTCAATGGCCTCCCGTTTGGTACCAAAACCTTAACGATTGTTAAAAACAACGCCGATTAGGTCAAATCGACAATTATTACCAATTTAATTGCAATTTAAAACCAAATGACAATAACAAAGTATTCAATTGCGAAGCCAATTTAGTACTCTCACACAATCTGCGACCCCCTAACACTCCTTGATCAAATTATTTCACTATTTTCCAGCACAAATTTACAGTAACGGTTTCGATTTCCCAATCCTTTCATTTTCTATTCAAATTCCTCCGTTTTCTCGGCAACCAAACAGAGCACAAGCACAATTTAACAAGCAAAAACATAAAAGTAAAAGCAGAAAGAGAGAGTGATGGTGAGAGAGATGACCGTCTTCGTCGGGGACTTGAACGTGAAGGAACTGGAGCTTGAAGCCACTGGTGTTGGAGCGCACGATCTTCTGGAGCGTCCACTCGAACGCCTTCCTGCTGCTGATCGAGGGGTGCGGGTAGCCCTTGATGGTCGACTCGTTCACTCCCAGCATTATCCGAGTTGGCTCATTCGCCATCTTCGCTTCGCTCACTGAGTCGACTCGGAACTTTCTCGAGCCTCACTCGCACTCTCTCTGAAGAAGTCGCTAGCTGAAGCAAGAATTGTTCCGTTTGTATGGGTTCGCAGCCGTAAGCCCGATTAGGCACAGCGCGCATCTAGGTGCAGGATAGCGCATATCCAATAGAAAGGTACTAACCTACGCCGTTCAGTTATCGATATGTGCCACGCGGCACTTCCTTATATAAAAGCGTGTGTCATATGCCATGGTTTGCCAAAAATTTGGCGGGGTGTGAAGAGTCTTTGATGGTCTAAACCTGATTAATTACTCAATTGCCATTGTAGTTTTTTCCTTTCTATTATTCTTTTTTTTTAATAACAAACGATAATAGGATAATCTACACTAAATTCACTTATGGAAAAGGAGATTTGAACACGGAATCTTAAGTGTATGAGCTAATGTTCTTAATCAACTGAACTATAAGCTATTTGCATTCTTCAATTTCTTTTGCATTATCTAATCCGATCATTCAATATTAACAAGTATAATAATAACTTTATCATGACATGTCGTTTATATTAAAAAATCATTACATAAGATCATATCCAACCAAATGAGGGCCAAATGACTCATTTTAGCCTTATAGCTCTGCGATAAATTATATTTTAATGAACAATGTCCGACTATATTTTATACCATCCCCAACCAAGGGAGCCAAAGAGTCATAGGCCAAACATAATTTATTATTTTAATTGAATTAATATGGTTAATTAAATTAAACTACTATATTAAAATAAGGTTTTCCAACATATTTTGAGTGCCACTTATCGTCAAATAAATAAGCCTCATGATTTCTTATCTTTATATAATGTCAATAATTTTTTGGATAGGATTTCAAGCGACATGTGTCGCTAACGTGAGTAACTCTCCAGATTTCTTATCTTTATGTTATCTCAATAATTTTTCAGATATGATTTCGAGTGACATGTGTCGCTAAAGTGAGTAATGCTAAATTGAAAAGTATGTGAGAAATGGTGTATGAATGGCTTAGGTATTTATAGGAAATAATTTTTTTTTTGTTTAAATTCGTCCAAAAAAAAATCAAATTCCAATAGTAACCTAACGACAGCATGATGTTAACTAGCCGTTGCTAGCTGGCGTCATGCTGACATCAGGTACCTGTTGGCATTCAAATGGGTTGAGCTGGCAAAATGTCAAGCTTGACATTCTGGCGCTGGAAGGCTGGCTGGAAATGGCCAGCCCGTTGGCCTGATTTTGGGGTTTTGGCCTGGTGGGGCCCACAAGTCATTTGGCCTAGCCTAGCCCTTGGTTGGAGACGATTTTCGTGTCATTCCAAACTATTTTTAACCCTATGACCCTTTGGCCGGATCGGTTGGAGATAGCCTAATTATCTATATGTTTCTAAGTATAAGTCTTTGTGTCAAGTAACTGATGATGTGGATGTGGCATCAACTTATTGAAAGGCTACGCGATGGGTTCTTCCATCAACCCACACCCACCCCCATTGTACGACCTAGATCGAAGACGAGCTCACGGTCGCTGAAACGAAGAAGAAAATCAACAGCAAACCAAATAGAAGATCGAAGGCCAAATTGAAGAAGAAGAAAAATCTGCGCACCAATGAAGAAGAAGATCGCAGGACTTGTAAACCATGTGTGAGGATGGGTTACATAACCCACCCTATTTTCCCTATTTCGAATTTATGAATCCAGTTCGTGTTACAATTTTTTCATCGAACTTAAGTTGAGTTATAAATCCAATTTAAACTTTTCATGATTTCAAAACATGACTAAGCGTAAGTTCACAGGTGATACTGATAGCAACACCTAGCAGCAAACAAAATAAGTAAATATGAAAATCAAATTAAAAGGCTGGTTATTTTTATTTTTCTTGAAAAAGGTAACCAACTCGCAGTTTTCCCTTGGCCTCATGCTGCCTCCTGTCACTCTCCCACTGCCACAAACTCACACTTCCTGTCTCTCAGTCCCTGTCTCCGTCTCCAAAACTACTCCATTTCTTGTGATTTATAATCCCTCTATTTCAAGGCAAATACGATAAATTTAACCGCAAACATCATCGATATTTTCGTAAATTTGCATATTAAACTTTCTACCGTTATACAAGAAGAAAATGAGTCTGCGTGAATCGCTTCTGCTCCGTATACAGTATAAACAATAAAACAGAAGGCAAATTGAACTGCACTAACCCCAAGTGTATACAAATTAAATTAAATTACACAAACAATTAATTGTATACAATTAATTTACATTCCCTAATTGCCCCTTATTTCCCAGAGATTGAATACCAGTAAAGGAAACTCTCCCGAACCCCAGATGTCCAATCTGGTACAATTCTAACCACATCCTCTCCGCCTCCTGCCTGGCACCGTCGCACTCCATTTCCTCCTCGCCATCCCCACCCCGCCATGAAATCTCGGGAACTTTTCCCTCCTCCTCCCCTCTCTCCACCACCCACTCGATCCCACGTTTACTACTCCTCCCCCCCTTGCATTTCCTCCTCTTTTCCCGCTTTTGCCCCTTCTTTTTCCCCAATCCCAAACACTTCCTCCCCACCATCCAGGGCACTTTTACGAACGCCAGGGTCAAAAAGTTCACCAGCGCGCAGGGGCAGCAGCAGAGCGCCACGCAGTCCGCGATCAACGCGCCGCTGCACGACTTGCAGAACCTCCCCGTGCACTCGATCCGGTCCCCCGCGCCGTCGTCGACGGCGTACCCGTACCGGCTCTTCCGCGCTGGTGTCGTGGTGGATCCCGTGGATGACGTGTGACATTCTCCGCGATGGTCGGACGACCCGGACGTTGATGACGACGACGACGAACTCCCGTGGTGGTTACGTGACGCCCGAGGCGGGTTATTCTCGTCCATTGGATTTCACCTGACCTGCAAAATATGAGAGGTTTTATAAATTTCAACGGTGATGCGGAAGGAGCGTAGATTTTGATCCCAAGTTTCTAGGGAGGGGTCTTTCCTACATGCTTATGCTTTATACTGGTACGTGGGAGGAGAGACGTGAAGAGATTATTCTTTTTTCATGCATTTTTATCTTGGTAATTACAGGAGGGCAAAATGGTCCATAAAATTGTTTTGAAAGAGAGTTGCATAAGCACATCTCCAACCGGCCCGGCCAAACAGCCATAAGGCTAAAAATAGTTTGGAATGACACGAAAATCATCTCCAACTGATGACTAGGTCAAAGGCTTGTGGGTCTCACGGGCCAAAACCCCCAAATCAAGACAGCAGGTTGGCCATTTCCAGCAACTAGACTAAAAGCAACGAAAGAATAACTTACATAAACGGTTTTTACTTATTCATAGTATAACATCGTAGTTCAATAACATGTCTTCAAATAAAAATGAGTCGGGAGTTTAAATGTTAAGTCCAGTGGGTCTCGTGAGTTTATTTCTTATAATAGAGCATGTTTATTAAACTTGCATTATTAGAACAACAGGTGTTATTGAGTCTTTTATAGCGGGTCGGAAAATTTGAGTTCGATACTATAAAGAACAAACTCACATGGTAAATCATAATATTTGGGTCAATATGAGTGAGTGTGATTCCTAATTACAATATTTAGCACTCATGAGTTTGAATATTCTTATAAATTACAACTCTCACAAATATTAAACTCACACCATTGAAAAATATTGCTATAGGAGTTAAACCCATATGATCTAATTTCTTTATATAAGAATTAAACTCATAAAACCGACATGAGAAACAAAATCAAACTCAGGCAACCCGAATTCTATAAAGCACAGCAGTAAGAATTAGGGTTTTGGGTTGAAGGAACAGAGAGATTTTTCAATGAGTCAAGTACACGGTGGATATACCAAGTATCCTAATACAAGTTATTGTAAACTTTTATTATAATACTTAATGTATTTGACCGTGTTTCCGACCGACTGAAAAAAATTAAGAATGAGAAAGGTTGTAGAAAATGGAATGGGAAGGAAGACGAGACAGAGACACGTCAGGCAAAGTCAGGGAGGGAGGCCCGAGTTTATGAATAAGTTTCCCTCAATGTGTTTTCGTGAGACGAATGATCACTTCATGTCTCATGCCTAATTCAGCTCTCGAACAATTTCTGCTCTGTCCTCCTATGATCCCATCCCATCCCTTCACTCACCTTCCACCAATCGATTGAACTTTTGTCCAAAAAATAATAACTTCACCACACAAACGTTTACATCAAATTTTCTATATTTTACAAAGATAAGATATAAATAAAGATTTTTGTAGTGTAATAAACAAAATAGCGTCATCATATCAGTGTCGTACGTAAAATTTGGCGAGAATAATGTACAACCTTATGCACTTAAGTTTGAATTATCGTTAATGTAGGTTGGCTAAACTAGTTTACAATACCAGTTGTATTAAAAAAAAAAAAAACATACAAGTGGCGTTGGAACCACCCTAATCCCATTGGGCATCCGCCCTTGGGCGAATCGGGAAACTTTTTGTTGGAAAAAAAATAATATTTACTAATAAAACTTTAAAAATACATCTAAGACGTACACAAAACAAGACGTAACTAAACATTTACCCTGACATGTTTTCGTGAAATGCACTTTGATATTTTGGTTGAGAACACATGCAAATGTTGGAAGGGAAACACACATGCCAAAAGCAATGTGAAAAAGCAAAGGAGGTCGGTCTCTTTACCCCAAAAAGACAATTGGAAATTGAATAATTTTTGTTAGGGTGCAATTCGATTGGAAATGTTACCATAAAAGTGTGACAAATGCAAAGGTGGTGACATGCTATCAATTTTCTATCTGATGAAAGTTGTACTTCTTTTCTTAATGCACTGTCAAAATCAACACACATCAATTATCCAAATTGTAGATTTGGGAAAAAAAAGTATCACCTACTTTGAAAGCATTATTAAATCTCATGTTCTAATAAAGTATTGTCAAATTGCTCCTAATTTTTAAGTTCTAATCTATGGGGGCGTTTGTTTGCCCTCACTAAGTGGGACTGGACTGGACTGGACTAACTGTTAGTCCAATACTGTGTTTGTTCCATGCTGGGACTAACATTAATGAGACTAAAGGGGACTAGCATGGACAAAACCCTTCACTAAGAGATCTTAGCGAGACCCCCCAATAATCATGGGACTAGCTAAGACTATCCTCTCTCGTCCTCGTCATGCTCAACAACCACTCCCGATAGACTCCTCGTCATCTCCGGTCACCTAGATCATAATAAAATATTAATAATTTATATATTAAATAATATAATATTAGAATTTGTTATTATCCAGCTTCTTAGTCTAACACTGCACCAAACGCTTCACTAAATTAGTCCAGCTTAGTCTAGTCTAAGCCAATCCAGCTTAGTCCTTGAAGCTAGTCCAGTCCGAGATAGTCCGGCGCAACAAACGCCCCCTGGAAGTTCACATGGGCCCTGAATTATGACCATGATTGAAAAAAATAAATAAAAATAATATAGACACTTAAAATTGACTATATTACTGCCACATTTAATACAGAGTTTTTCTTTAAGGAAAAGGGATCAGCTAGTGGCTGAGCACGGCAGTCGACTCTTTTGGGGGCCGAGAAGACTCATAGAGGTATTTCAGCCTCCTCATGACAACTACTATGTGATTTACACGGGCTAGGCTCTTTATGCCCACCATCGTGTGATTCACGAGCGCCAGAAATCGAAGCTAGGATGTGTCGTGTGAAATACTGGTTTGAAATTTGTCCCAAATCACTAGGCCACTTTGAAATGATGCTACATTTAATCGGGAAAAATCCTAATGCATCAACGATATGAGGTTCGTTTTATTAAAGAATGTATCAGCGATGTCCAATATAGTTTCATCCTTCCCAATTGCCAAGTCTAGAAAGCAGAAAGAATCATTTTGAAGCAAACGACGTTATTTGGGAGAGAATCTAATGCGAAAACCAAAACGATGAGATGGGAATTTGTAGTTTTGGGGTGTTGAATGAGGGAAAAGTGGATTAAGAAAAAAATTAATAATTAATTAAAACATGGAAAAGAACAATGGCAGGAAAATAAAAAGTCATTAATCAAATTTAGAAAAAGATAGTATCACAATCCTACAAATATAGTATATAGATATCCTAGTCATTAGTAGCCAAATTAAAAACTTTTTAACCATTTGATTACTGTCAAAATTATTCCATTATTATCGATAATATTGTCTCTTATTTTTTCTTATCACAATTAGATATTTAAATGCTTTCTGATCAAAGACTTTCAATGCTGACCTAAAAAATTATTGCTTGAAATTATGGAAAATATTTGTGTGGTAAACCTGAATAAGTAGTTAGCGATGTATTAACTTATTAACTAATTAGCAATTTAACAATATCATGTATGATGTGTGTAAAATTGAATAGTGAAAAAAAAAGGAAAAAAATAAAAAAAAGAAACCCTTCTCTCAAAGCTCAAACAGAAAGTCAAGACTTTATTCAGGAGGTGGATTGTCTGCCCTCCCATTTCCATACTCTCCCCATGTCCTTCTGTTTGTATAGTCACGGTTAAGCCACATCAACATTTTATATTCTTATTACTTTTTGTTTTATTATTTCTATAAAAAAAATTATATAAAGTGTTAACGTTACTTAACCGTGATCACACATCACTGGAAAACATGATAAGAGTATGTAAATGAGAGGGAATACAATCCACCTCCTTCTTCACAAACAGATGGACTCACAATAAAAAGGTTAGACATGAGTGGGACCGATCCGCAGTAAATCAGGCAATCACCAATTAGTAATTATAAAAGGTAATTCGATTGAGTGAAAGAAATCACTCACTAAGAAGCATAGCAAATCATATATCACATCACAGTACTGGCTTGCAATTGCATGAATCGTCTAGCGATATCTAATCTACATTCCACATTTTTTCTCCTAACTCGAGTTCGAGCGACAATCTAGTCTAATCTAAATTATGATGAGAGGTTCAAATAGGCATTCATAATCTTAACTACGAGAAAATAGATGAATGAAATGAGCAATGCAAATGTATATTAAGGAAGTGAAAGAAAGAACTGACCTGGAGAGCGGAGATCAAATCAAAGGTTGAGATTTAAGTCAAAGCTCGCGATCTTGGGTTGACTCTGGATGATTAAAAAGCTCGATTGTTGAAATACAATGTGGAATGCGTATAATGAAAGATGAACAAGCTGGAAGTTCGATCTGATCTCAAACCCCCAGATTTTATATATAACCGCCGCTTGTTTATGTAACATCTCTGCAAGCAGAAGAAATAGAATCTCTCTCTCTCTCTCTCTCTCTCTCTCTGAGTCTGCTACTTTAATCTATTTGTTAACTGACTTGTAAAACTTTGTTAACGAAAGCAGAAGATTTTCTTCTGTATAAAACTCTGAGGAAGGCAGAATAAAAAAATAGGGAAAAAACGGTGCTCATGCATCACTCTTGAGAGAGATGAGAGATTTTTCAATGTGACCGGCACACGAGATGATACACTACGTGTCACTATACAAATGATGAAATATGTGTGTTAAAAAGTTAATAACTTAAAAAATAAAAATTTTCACTAATTTTATAAAAACACGTAATATATCAATTGTGTTTCTGTCACAATAAAATTTTTCTATCTCTCTCTCTCTTACCGATGACAGCAAATATGGGGAACTGTTCCTCATCTACCCTGCTCTTTTCCCACTCCTTGTCCTCCACCCTGCTCTCTGCTGCCCTAAACATCTCCGTTTGTTCCTCCGTTACGGTCAGTATGGGATTACTTTCTTAAAAACCACTTTTATTCGTAAGCAATTATGTTAGAAGTGTTTTTTTTTTTCTGTCAAAAACACGTCAAATCTAGTTGCTTCTTGCACCCAAAAACGCTTTCAAATTTTTAGTCCCTAAATGTTGTTAGGGCGGAAACTACTTCTTCTAAAAACTAAAAGTATATTTCAGAATTCTAGCCTTTTGAATGCTTTAATCTTCTCCCATCTTAGATGAATTTATAAGGGATAAAAATACAATAAACTTAGTACCCAAGACAAGTGAATCTTAAGCAAAATACTTACAAAATAATCAAGATCTTAAGAAAATAAAATAAATTTCCTAATTCATCAATCTCATAATAATTTTCTTTTTCGGTTTTTCAACACTCCCTCAAACTCACGATGCATCATCATGAATGAATTTTCGGAATATAAGACGGGCTAATCTTAGAAATAGTAATTAAACAAATCACTAATTTTAACAAATTTTATAAAAAGTGCGTTTGCTAGAAGTGATTTATTTTTGAAATTTGATCATGCAAATTTGTTACTTCTGCATGAAACTCATGATTCTTTATGTTTCAAACTCCCAACTTGATTAATTAAATAAATTCAAAAAAATAGACTGCCATGACGAAACTATCATCTAAATACTTTAAAAAAAAAACGAAAAGATTAAACAAATTTGAATTACTAATATGTTTGACCGGCATATGGTTGTCAATTTTCAAGCAAGGCCTTGTAAGCTGCCACACTACCCTCCAGCTCAATATAAATTGATAAATTGGTACTCAAAATTATTAAACAAATAATAATCTTTGTTTTTTGTTGTTAAAATAAATAAATAAATAGTAATCATGATCACCACAATGCATGTCGACACTATGGTAATCTCTCCCACGTCCGCTTGGGTTGACTCACGAGATTTCATGTGTCCTTGAGTCTCTTTTTGCATCGTCTTTACATATCTCTGTTGCCTTGCCGGCCCTTTTGTTAGAATTGTGATCTACTTTACCAGAGATTTTTTAGTGTGATCATCACACGAAATGGTATATCACCGTATCACTATATAAATGATAGAATATGTGTGTTAAAAAATTAATAACTTAAAAAATAAAATTTCTTACTACTTACATAAAAACACGTGGTGTACCACTCGTATTCCTGTCACAACTAAAAATTTCTCATACTTTATAAATTAATTAACATTTAACAACCATATCTAAACCATAACTGGTGACTCAGTGGTTGGGGCGAATTTCAAACCTATATTTTACACGGTTTGTCCTAGACTTAATTCTTAACGCTTGTGAACCATACATTAATGATTATAAGAGGTTAGAATATTTATTTGAGTCTTCCTGGGGTCTAAAAAGGGTGTGATATCCACACATCCTATTTTACTTTTCACATACCATTTTAATTTTCGGTCGTCCGATCGAACGAATTGAAGAAGATCAACGGACATAAATTATCAAGGAGTGTGTGAGAAGTAAAATAGGGTGTGTGAATAGCACACCCCGGTCTAAAAAGGTGAATTATCGCCATTAGGATTTTTTTTTTGGGGAGGGGGGGTCATAATTTTTTTGGCGGTGTAACATGAAAAGTAGCATTTCATCCAGCCTTGGTAGGCCTTAGGTTATTTGTCAAGTCATATTGCATGCATGTTGACATATGCGAACAACTTTCAAGTGAGCATGTTGACTGATGTCAATACTTTTGAGCGAGCATAACAATTGAAAGATGCTTATAGCAAAATCATATAAGGACATGAGGCTAGCAGCTGCCCTGCCTAGTGCCTATAGAGGCAATAGATCGAACAATTGGAAAGAAACTTTTAAGGGCATCTTAGATTTTCAAAAGACAACACCTAGTTCTTTCACAAAAAATCTTTGAGTTTGGAGAGCCAATTGACTCACCTTGTCCCAAAGTGAATTCGTCTCTGACTAACCGAAGCAATCATTCAAATATCTGTTCTCACTCATTCTTTTCACTTACAAATGAAGATCATTAGATCGTAGTACAAGTGATCCCTTTTGTCTGCTAATTTAGCAAGGAAGCATAGGCCCATAGAAAAGGGGCTGAATTTGCTAATCGAGTAGGGTATTTTGACGTCAATTGTGGACTCACCTGAGGTGTTAACCCTAAAGGCCCAGAAAGAAAAGGTTATAAAACGCCGCAACCAATGACATCTCAAACACATTCCGAAAACCCTAACCTCACACTTTTATTTCTTGCTCGCAGCTTTTTTTTTTTTTTTTTTTTTTTTCTGGGTTTTGCTTCTTCTCGGTTTTGGTTTTTTAGTGGTCAAATTTAATATATATATATATATATATGTTGATACGGCAAAGATGAAGAGTGCTTTAAATTTCTGACACCTCTTGTACGAGAAGTGCCTGTAAAAGGGCTCTTCGCTGAGCACTGTTAGCAACTCTCTGAGCCTCTCTCCCACTTCCCCCTTTTCCCTTTTTATTTTTTCATTTATAAATATATTTTTTTTTATAAATTTTCCCAAAATTTATATCTGAAAACATATGTTATTTAGTTTAGTTTCGCTCAATATTGTGATCTCTGAAAATCTGTATAAAATCCAGAATTTCGGTCCTAATTCTTCAATGTTGAAGTAATTGCCTTTATAGAAACAATAGTTTTGCGTATAATACTTGTACAGAGGCTTTTAAGGGAAGTGATTCTCATTTTGTTTTCAAAACAGGATGCTCACACCATATCGAACTTTGACGATGAAAACCATCCATTTTTTAATTTGCATCTTTTTGAAAATATTTAAGATCTCTAATCGAGTGTAAAGAAATTGACAAATACTTTGTTCTAAAATTATAAAAAATAGTAAAATTTTATTGTAATAATTAAATAGACAAATAATTTTAAATTAAATTAAAATTTTGTAATAATAATTTACAAATTATTTTTGTCCCTGTAGTTTTCTGTTATTTTTTCCTTTGCACTTGTATTTTTGTTCTTTTTTTTTTTTTTTTTACAATTTAGTCTAATCCGTTAGGCTCTTTGCATTTTATTGACAAGGAATTGTAACAACGGGTTGAACTCTAATTGAAATGCCGAATTTGTTTATGAATGGTAAGAGCAATGTACTCTTCCCGTCAAAAGATTTGTAAGCTTCTTGTTCGACAATTCGAATCGATTCTGGACAACGTTAGAGCCGCCATTGCCCAGGATCTTGTTCTTCGACATGCCCGTCGCCTCTGCTAACTTCTCGGCCTCTTCTTCTCCGTCAATGACTCGATCGAACCAGATGTATCTGCCAAATGCTGCCTTGTTCATTGCCTCAAACACCCCTACATGTGCCTCTGCCAGTCTTGTTATATCCACTGTGGCTAGCACTCCACTTTGGTACATTTCTTGCGCTCCTGTGTTACACAACCAAAATTAGTAAAAATTACAAGGGAACATGTAGATTTTGACTTGTAACAAATTTTTGAGATAGAATTCTCGTCGGATTCTCTTTGTGAGGATCCCGGGAATCCTTTAATTCGGTGCGTTTATCGTACATCGTGCAGTCAGTTTTTGTCAATTACTGTTTGTGTTCAATTTTAAATAATATAATTTAAAATGATTTCTGATCGCACGATATACGATGAAATAACAAGATTAAATGATTTTCAAAATCCTCACAAAGAGGATCCAATGAGGATTCTATCTCCAAAATTTTAACACACTTGGGCGGGTTTGAGCACCGCTTGAGAAGGTGGTGCTCAATGGGGCCACAATGCTCGAGTGGAGCAAAGAGCCCCATGAGCTTGCTTCTTCTCATAGTGACATTACGGTTTGGTGACATTTCTTTCACTTTTAATTTGGAATATCTTTAAACCCATTCGATTGGATTACCATGTATAACGAGTTCAATACCAAATTTTTAGAATACAAAAAAGGCGGGAATGAACAAATACCCTTGAGATATGCAAGAGTTGCGGTTGGATTTCTAGTGGAAATTTCAGGGCCGGTAATGAGAGCCGGGCAGATGGTGGTCAACTTCAACCCCCTTTCCTCGGCTATTTTCCATGCAGCTTTCTCTGCCCTCAGCTTGCCCAATGCATACCAGAGCTACCATTTCCAAATCAAACTTTTTAAAAAATTACTAATGATAATTACCCTTGTGATTAGCATAGAAATGTTATTGTGTAATTACTATTGTTCTAAAAATTCATGCCTAAGCGCTAGATGATTGGTCACCGTCACGATTAATTTCTAGGTGTTTAAAAAAGAAGAAAGGTCTTCTAAACCTGACTAAGCACCTGTCTAAATTCTATCTAAAATGTCTACTGCCTCGCCACTCGGCTAGCGCCTTTTAAAACCTTGGTAATTACCAGTAAAATAACTGTAAATAGTATCTTTTTATTTATGCAAAGTGACTCACTGCCTTACAACTCGGCTAGCGCATTTTAAAACCTTAGTAATTTCAGTAAAATAACTGTAAACAGTACCTTTTTATCTATGCAGAGTGACTCACTGCTCCAGTGGTTATGGTTAATCACACGGGAGAAGTTCAAATTCTGGGAGCTATCTTGCCAAACGCAGGCTAAAAGTGAAGAAGTCAGCACACATTTTCTCACAGATGGCGTCATTGCACATGCCTTCATCACATTCTCACTTGCCTTCACTTCTATCTCAGCCATGGATTTCTAATCACATCATTCAAATCCAAACGATCATTCGCCATTTAAACGTCAGAAATAAATAGAATTGTGCACAAGCAGCAAAATCAAAGGAATATGCGAAACTATTTAGTTTTACTTTTTTCTTGATGAAAATGATAGACACAAAATTATATGCAATTCATGATGTACAAGTAAGGTTAGTAGGATTAGCTTTTGTCGGATGAGTCGATCATAGCACTAATTATTCAATTTTAAGCAATTTTGGTCAAATGTATGTACATTATCAATAAGAAACGAATGTTTTCCGCACACTGTTTATTCTCCTCTAATCAAAGCACAAAAGAAGGACATAAATAAATACAAGTATCCAATGGTTGCAGTAGAACAAGTACATGCAAAAAGAGTAAAAGGGTATGCAAAAATCACTTCCTCCAAAAGAAATCTAGTGTCTGGCGAAAAGAAAAAAAAAATCTAGAGTCCGAACGATGACAAAGGACAACATACACAATAGACTAGACCACAAGGCATCAAAATAATGCGGATGTGACTCTTTGTTTGGATTTCGAATAAAGATATTTTCAGCATCTTCAGTCCAACGATCAGACAATCTGAACTGTTTAAAATTAAATCTAACGATTCACATTAACTTGTTATTAGCCAATCCCACACAAATCTAAAGTTCCCATCTCTCTTCACAAACCAAGAGATCGAATTCTCTGATTCTTAGACTTTGAACACTAAAGTTAGGAGAGGATCGAAATTCCTTTGTGTGCAGTCGGTTGCATGCCACGTAGAAGTCTTTTCAAGTTGGAGAAAAGTAAGACAAATGAATAGGGTAAAGTAACTCACAGTGTAACCAGAGAGGCCAGCGGGGTCAACAAATGCAGAGGTGTGGAAAACGCCACGACAGCCATGGAACGCGTGTGACAAGCTTTCAACAACGTCGGTGTCGGTTAGCTTCGCAATAACTGCAGATATGCGATCGCTGTTGGTGCCGCTTGTCCTCATCTCCCTCATTATTTCTGCATCTTCTGGAATATATGTTTCGGGTGAACACGACAACACATTAATTCCGGATGTAATTAAGCAAATTTCACACGACATCTTCTCTATGGGTATAAGTAAAGGAATAATATTCGGAGGCAGATTGTCTGTCCTCTTATTATGATTTTATTTTTTTATTTTTTTTATTTGTACGGTCACGGTTAAATTATGTTAATATTTTATATTTTTATTACTTTTTGTCTTATTATTTTTATAAATAATATAAAATGTTGACATACTTTAACCGTAACTGCATAAATAGAAGAAGATGAGAAGGACATTGTAACAGGAAGGCAGACAATCTGCCTCCATAATATTCATATATCGCATTAAGGTAAATCAATATTGCAACCTAATTACATGCGTAACTAAGTTGATCAAAACAATATTTTAATCTGTATAAATTCATTTTACTACGTTAACATTACATGGCTATGGTGTGGATCTGTTTCGTCTGCCGTTTTTATGGCAAATTTGTACAGACATTGCTTGTGCTAGTGAGTGTGCGGTTGTGGTTGCCAATTAGGGGGTTATTATTAAATCTAGTTTGTGCGAATTATCTCCAGATCAATTTATTTGGTCACTGAAAATTATATGGCAACTCTTGTAATTGTTGTGGACTCTTTGTAATTGTGATTCAGTAATGAAATTTTACTATCGTTTCTTGTCAAAAAATAATAAAAAATAAAAAATTTAGACTACGTTAAAGAAGAGAAAAGATTTTCATACACTTGAGTTCCTTGCACACTCTAGTTATGTATGCCCCTTGAATTAGATGGAAATTCATTGACAAAGTCACAAAATGCATAAGAAGAAAATGAATGTACAAAAATTATGCTTGATTACAATTAAATCTCTATAAATTAATAGTGTTGAGACCAAAGAAAATATATTAATTTAGAGAATATTAAATAATCAATAAATTCTATTAATTAATAGGCAATAGCTAATTAATTTATCAATATTTTCTTAAATATTGTACATTGTATTTAATTTCTTGCTTTACGAACTAATAATTCTATGTATTTGATTAGCAATATAAAATTCATGAATATATTTATTTAAAAAATATATATATATATATATTGCACATTGTTCAATGCATTAATATTATATAACTTATGAATATTTAACCACAAAACTCTATTTAAATAACAAAAGTCATATTAACACAACATATCATACATACAAGTTACAACAATGACTTCTCATCTCAAAGGTGTGTAAAAAATCAACAATGACGGTTTAAAAGCGCAAAAAGCATTGATTGAGTGCAACAAAAATAATCCAGATAACACTAAAACAATTGCAATATTAGACTTCTTTGATCATTTTTAATTTATATATTACGTAAAATTTATATAAATTTTTTATAATGTATTATCTCAAAAGTCGAGATTGTCAAAAAAATATTATTCAATCGAGATTATTAATTTATCGGGTATCAATTCCTCAAGGTTCTACAATAATCAAAACAGCGCTCGAATAAAGAAAAATGTTGCAATGTAAATGTAATTAAACAAACTTCATAGATTCGATTCATGATGTTAACGAATCGCATGATTGTAACCAGGAAAATGCTGAAATGTCTTTTTAGATCTTCTCGGCTCTAGAAAAGATGGACTAACCTGACAAAGTCACTACATTTTCAAATAAAAACAAACAAACAATGAAAGAAATAGGAATAAATGAAGAAACATTCTATTGTCATTGTGCAACTTCATTCGGATTTTTATTAGGCTTCTGAAACAATCACTTTCAGTAAAAGCAAGCCGATTCAAATACGATCACAAAGAAGTAGACACACTGCTTTAACCAACCGACTTAACTCACATTCTACATTTCGAGAATCTAAATTGGAACTTGGATGGATAAAGCATTAACTAATGATGATTTACAGTAATAGATAACTAACAATTACCTTGGTTGTCAACGATGAGGCGGACGGAGTAGCCACGGTGGAGGAGACGGTCAACGATGGCAAGGCCTAAGAAGGAAACGCCGCTAGTGACACACACCAACATGTCTTGTTCATAATCACCCCTCGAGTCGAAACGCTTGCAGTCGGGTTGCTGGTGGTCGTCTTTTCTGCGGTGGAGGCCGGCGGAGGCCACCAACGCACGGCAGAACTCCTGCACCTCGATGTTCACCCTCTCTTCCAAACCCACAATCCCCATTTCGACCATGTTTCGGGGACACAAAAATGGCACAGAAGAAGGAAAAAGGTTTTGTTGGGGAGCTTACTTTTCTCTTGGACAGGGATGGAGTGACACGACTAGAGAGACGAAGACATGAGTTTATGTAAATATTCAATTGTTTGGTCTGTTGGCGTCCACGGCCAGTTGGAAGTCATGCAATAAATCATGTTTCTTGCTGCTTATTATACACCAAAAAAATCAAATATTTTGACTTGGTATGAAATTATTACCATATAGAACTACAGAATGAGAACCAATTCATGTTACAGGTTGCTCAAATAATTTGAGTAAGTAGTACATTTAGGCAGCTGATGCCCGTTGAGTTACGTATTTTACAGTTCGTTGTGGTGTTTCGCAATCAAAATTGAATTGTACTCTAAAATTTAGCTTATTTCAATCCGATTGAGATAAGTTTTTATCATTTTACATAGTTTTTTAGTCAAAATAATCCATGAGATTTGCATAACACATGTAACATCTCACATTGCTTAGGGGAGTAGATCATGTAAGCCTTATATGTATATTCTCATCTCTACCTAACACGAAGCCTTTTGGGTGCTCACTGGCTTCGGTTTCCGTCGGAACTCCGAAGTTAAGCGAGTTCACAAAAGAGCAATCCCAAGATAAATGACCCCCTAGGAAATGCTCGCATGAGTTCCCAGAAACAAAACCGTAAGGGCGTGGTCGGAGCCCAAAGCGGACAATATTGTGCTACGGTGGAGTCGAGCCTGGGATGTGATGAGGGTCCAGGTCAGGATGTGACAATTTGGTGTCAGAGCCAATCCCTGGTCGAAAGTGTGCCGACGAGGACGTCGGGCCCCTAAAGGGGATGGATTATAACATCCCACATCGTCCGGGGGAATGGATCATGTAAGCCTCTCTACCTAGCATGAGACATTTTGGGAGCTCACTGGCTTCAGATTCCGTCTGAACTCCGAAGTTAAGCGAGTTCGCGCGAGAGCAATCCCAGGATGGATGATCCACTGGGAAGTGCTCGCGTGAGTTCCCAGAAACAAAACCGTGAAAGCATGGTCGGAGCCCAAAGCGGGCAATATCATGCTACGGTGGAGTCGAGCCCGAGATGTGGTGGGGGCCGGGCCGGGATGTAACAACACATAACTTTGGTCCCTGAGATTTAAAATCAATAGAAGTGGTCCTGAGATTGTCTAAAATCCATTATTTTGGTCCGTTAAAAAACTCAGTTAAATTGAGGGTATAACACATAACTTTGGTTCCTAAAATTTGCATAACACATAACTTTGGTCCCTGAGATTGTCCATCATCCATCATTTTGATCCTTCCATTCAAAAGCTCAGAGACCACTTAACGGAGTTTTTTAGTTGAATGACTAAAATAATGGATGGTGAACAATCTCAGAGACCATTTCAATTGATTTGAAATCTCAGGGACCAAAATTATGTATTATGAAAATCTCAGGAACCATTTTAACTAAAAAGCCATTTTACACTTACCTGACGCAGAAAATGGTGAATCCACTTCCAAATGTCTTCCAAAATTTTCTTTACTGCGCGCTGAGGCTAGCTCAAGAACACGACTATGATATCAACAGAAGACGAAGACGAGAGAAATTGAACTAAAATAAATTATATTTACAGTATCAGATTTCAATCAATTACATGTTGCACAACGGGATTCAAAGGAATTGCATTCTCAAAATTTGAATGTCTGCACTAACACACATTCACACGTATGGTACACTAGAAGACACCAGAAAAAAAAATTTGCTCCAGCGATTCAGCGGTAACCGGCAGACGCCACGTACCATCAGAGCACCAGCAACATCGTCCGCCGGTGGCCACAGCACCGCCACCATGGTTCATCTGCTTTCTGTAGCATTTTCTATTTTCCGGTCAAAGCGATTATTCGACTGGCAGCGGTGAACATGACATTGCCTTCATGCATCACTTCGATTTCTAGCATTTTCGTCTTTGTTGGCCACACCTTTCAATTGCCTTTCTAACTGCAAACCGAAGGGAGATCTTTTAATTACTTGGAATTGGAAGAAACATTTTGATTAACAGATGGTTAATCCGAAAACATATTTCTTTTCTCCGCGGAACATAAAAACTCAAACAAAACCGCTCAAGATAAATACACGAACCTGGGTGTTTTTCAGCTTCTGTCTTTGCAATTGTTCGACAAGATTTCCAACACTGACATTGCAGACAGATTATAAGTAGAATGTTTATATGCAGATCAGATTCACATCATCAAAAAGCGTTTAATTACTCAAATACCTCTGTTGCAGATTAATCACCAGAGACTGCAAATCTCTCTCCCGAGAGGAAGCCAGAGCCATCTGCATCAGTATGACATAAAGCATAGTCAAGATCTAGTTCCAAGTTTACAGTCCATAAGCGCAAATTATTATAAAAAAATCGGATGTATCATAAACTACACGTCCAAGACGATTTTGAAGGTATAGTCGTTAACTATACAAGTGAAATAATAGTTTATATTACTGTTAAAGGTACGAATTACTTCAACCACGAAACAATATATAAGGTAATTGAACCGAGCTTTTACCTGCAAAAGGTCACCGGTGCTTGCGTCAGTGGACTCCCCTTGTGTTCCTGCATGAAGCTAAAAGCATTATACCCAACAAAACTTTGCAGACAAATTTGAAGGCCAAATATGTGAGACAAAATATAGGGAAGTTACCCGAGTTCTGTTCCACGTAATTGATCAATTTAACTATTTCGTCCTGTCACGTGAAGAAAGAAAGTTGAGACACACTCTCTATACAAAATGGGTTAAAAAACTGGCACATACTCTTTGCGAGGTGTTTTGCTGCAGAATGCATTGTAGTGAAGGGAGAACAGTGGTAGCTGCAAGATTTGCAGTCGCTGGACCAGTTGAACTTCCAGAAGGACCAAACAAGCAGTTTGAAGGACCCTGGAAAAGAGATAGGAATGGTAATGGTTATTAATGCCTAAAGGATATCCTGCTAAGTTGCACCCCTTCTTTATGATGTTAAAGATCATAAACACACGAAGTAGACATAAAACCCCGCCGGATACTGAGAACAAATCTGATGGAAAAACTGAAACCAGTAGATGCCTCAAATATGAAGCAATGCAATTCTATGGTAAATAGCCAATAACACTCCAGAATATATGAGTTATTAAATATATGTACCTTGGGACTGAGTTCCGCTGAAGTAACCTTGAAGCGCCCCTTACGTTGGACAACTGCTCCTTCAGAAACATCCTCAGCTGCATATACAGATGCATAATTGATATAATAGATTTTTAAAAAGCACAAAGGTGGAAGAAATCAGACATAGGGAATAAATGATGAAAGCACAGAGCAACAAGAGACAAACCAGAAGCATGGCCAATGGAATCTCTCTTATGGCGATACAACAATGGACCACTGTAGCTCCTCTCAGGTTGATGTTTTGATTGCAAATAATCCCTTCAAAACATATAATATTTTCAACTCATAGCTAGTAGAACCACACTTTTACATGCAATTGCACAAAATTACAATGATTGGCAGATGGGGATATCAAAAGAATCATACTGTAAAAAGATAAGACAACAACGACAATCAGGGTGTTTTTACACTGAAGTATATTACCATCAAAACCATATTCATTATTGTTTCCTGAACTTTCATTGGGCAAGGCTTTAGGTGATAAAACCATGATTATCATGACAATTTCAACAGTGAAGAAATTTAATTACAATTTAGTTCAACAAAGGATGGTGCCTCAGTAATCCACATATACAATATTATCATATGATAGTTTCAACGTGAAAAATAGAAAATACAGTGTGGTTCCAACAAAGGATGACTCATAACAATACTAGGCAACAAGAATGTGTGTTGTGCAATTGTCGTGAGGAGCTCTATGTAGGTATTATACTAAGTCAACAAGCAACCACATATGGAATTCAAAGAGCGTTTTATTCAGCCAGAGATAATGAGCATGCAAACAATGCTTGATGCAGGAAAGTGAAAAGGGGGAAGCTCACTTTCTTCTGATTGAAAAAAGCAGAGAACAAATAGAGCATTGTATCGATGATGTTATTCTAGAAAAAGCACATTAAACAACCCAATCAACTTCATCATAAGAACACTTACCTTTCACCATTGCCAATAACCTTTTTGGGAGAAAGCACATTATCCGGTAACAGTGAACCACTCAAAAACTTTTTAGGCTCGGGATTAACATGACGTGGTGAAGAACTACATTGCCTTGAAGTCTCACCTTCACTTCTTCCATTTTCTTGAGCAATGTTTCTAGGACTAGATGCACTCACATCATCCTCACAAACATCAAAACAGCCTCTGCATCAGAGAAAACAAATTTTAAGTAAGATAAAAGAAATGAAAAAAAATTGCATTCAAAACACTTAGCAAACGTAGAAAAAGAAAAAAAAACTTTAAATCAAGACATAAGGTTTCTCAAAGAAAGGAACAATTACAATCGCAATGAAATTAATAAACACACAAAATATCTCAATAATTTTGGGAAAATCCATAATGAAAGTAATTACTAGGATGCTACATAAAATGGATAAAATGCAATAACTTGCAGAAAATAGTTAAGATATTGAATAATAATAATAATAATTTGGCAGACTGCTTTACACAATCTGTTTGCTGACAAATCAGTTAAAGTGATAAGGGCTTAAGTTAATAATATGAGTGGATGATACGATTCCAGAAAAGGAAAGCATTCATACTTAAGCGCTTGAAGAGGTTTGATAGGAAATGAAGCAAGTGAGTTGTCCAAATCAGGCAGACCGTTGAAGCCATCCTAAGCAGGCAGACACCGAATACATAAAACAATAATTAGAACTTAAAAAACTGAACATCTGAGACAAGGAAGATGAGTTTAAAGTAGTAGTTCCTATACCTCATGATAAGGCACAGCATTTGCTTGGATTTCCATCTCAGTGGGTTCCCTCTTCACTGGAAAACTAACATCCTCGTCCTTGTCAATTTGCTTCTCACTTGATGCATGGGGCATGCCATCCTCTTCAATCTGCTGGCAACAGTGTGCCAGTAATAATATAAATTAACAATATAAATGATAAATAATGTTTAAATGAAGGCGTCGTGCATGAATCAGACCAACGGTTAGTTGATTGGACTAAAATAAGTATACATAGGCTAGAAATTGATAAACTTACAAGG